ATAACACCGAATAGCTGTTAAATGTTATCATATTTGTATAGAATAGATTGCAAGCAATCATGATAGTTGTTTACTTTAAATAAAAGTATAATTGATAGCTCTTATGATATAATAACAATTGTATACCATATCAATTCACATTAATTAAATCTCTTATATTAATTGAATACCTCATAATTCAAGTAACAGATAGTGAAAAAAAACTTAATCTGAAGAAAATATTGATTATTTAAATTCAATAGAATAAAAAATATATTATATAACAATGATTCTTTTACTTAAAATTAAATTGTCTATATTAGTTCCTAATTACATAATTGATATCTAGTGTCACATAAAGAAAAAAATTAATACGTACATACTGCTTGTGTATTTCAGGCATCCACTGAGTTGACATTTCTAAGTGTACACTGATCCAAAAATGAATATACTTATAAATTCATAGAATACACGATTACATTGATTTTTATTAAATAAATAACTTCAAACTAAATGCTTACATACATTAGTAACATATGTAGATACGGTGAGACTATAATTTATGGACGAACCAATCAGGTTTAAGAAAACAGGTCTCGGATTTCGGCGCGAAATTCACTCATGTGTTTGGCTAGAGTTTTGGCATTATAGTTGATGTCAGTTCGTAATGAAAACCCTAAATCTAATTCCTAACCTTAATCATCAAATGTAAATCATAATTCTAATTCCTTACACAGGTTTATAACCCTCGTTTGGTCCTAGATATTAGGTGGACACTCTTAAGGCCAGTCTAGCGTCTCTCAAAGGTCGTTCATAAATTATAGTCTCACCGTAGATACTTATCTTTTAATCGCTGAAAAATTCCCATTATATTAAAACACAATTATATGAACGAAGAATATTCTTTTTAATAATTTCTCATCAGGTTCCATAATTATATATCTAAATTAGTACTCCGTAAAATTGGTCAGATTTAAGGCAGAGTACATCATTTCAAATTATAACATGTGGATTAAAGATTGTTTGTCATATAAAATAAAACAACATCGTTAATGTTGGAATGAAGTGTTAACTCGAATCAGTTTATAAGCGAAATGACATTGTGAGATAAATAATGGTCAGAATAAATAGGGTTAACATGATGTGAGAGAGACAATAATGTAATTACAAATCAGAAATAACATAATATGTAGAATAATATGAATTAGGTCAGATATAGTGGACAGGGCATTTTTTTGCTCTCTTTTTTGTCTATGTTTTTAATTATAAATTTCTGTGGATATCCGTTTCCTTTCAAGGTCGTGTACAATGAATTTGTTTCATCTTCGACCGCATCTAGAGAGCATATGGTCTTGATTTTATGGTGCAGTACTTTAATCAGGTTCCTTTTGTATTGTGGAGGAAAAAAAACTAAAAAAGTCTGTATATTGGTCCGTCCAAGTAGTACTCTTGTTTATGTTTCTTCCTAATGACCCTGATAAGAACTTATCAATTAATGAATTAGTTAAATTTAAACTGTTCTTAATGATTAATTCCTTACAAAGATAAACGTTGAAACTTCATTTGGTGTTCATTTGATAACAAGTAAAAGTAAAACAAAGCTGTAAACTCCATCCAACAAAAATTGGGTTAGATGTGTTAAGTAACTTGATTTGTTATATTTTTGACTCCCCCGTATCAAATACTAACAATGTACAAGTGACAAAAAAGAAATAAAATATAATTTATTACTCTTTTCTTTATCAAAAACATGGGATTTAGCAAAGAGATCTCTTTTCAACAGATTACTATCAAGTTATACAGTCTTTTGCAACAAACGTTCCCCGTCTAAATGCAAATAAAATAAAATAATCAGAAGGTAGTCATTGAATGGTTAGTGTTTATATATATATATATATATATATATATATATATTAGTGGGCCTGTATCTGACTCCATTTATATTATATGAATGATTGTTATTGAAATATACATCCCGGCTTCCCTTGTATATAATTTTCGACCTAAATCGCGTTAACGAATAACAGAATAAAAATAAGTCAAATATGATAATGAAGTTTGAATACGCATATTTCATGTACTCATCGATCTGAACAGACGTTCAAGGAAACGGAACAAAGGAAGTGAAGAGGAGAGAGCGAAGCGTAACGAATCGGTGGAGGGATATGTGCCAAGTCGGTTTAACAAAGCGTGAATCGATATTTGTGATCAAAGAAAAATAAGTTACACTCACAATGAGTAGGGTAAGTAATTAGCACACATACGATCACATAAAAAACAGTCCGGTTTAATGAGTTAGTAAGTGACAGAATAAAAATATGGCTCTAAAAGAATGAATAGATCGGTCTGCTCAGAGGCTAAAATAACTTAAGTTGGCTTGACATAGTATCAGCCACTACAACATACATATGATCGTGTTATAAACAATCAGGATGTCTTTGTTAAGTTTATTTGCTGAAAGCTAAGAATGAAGTGTAACTAACAGTCTACATATGAAGAACATTTCTTTATTTCAATATTAAATCAACTAAGATGGATTTCAAAAAAATATTAGTGTCATTACATTTATTTATTTATTTATTTTAACACATAGGTATTGGTACAAAGAGGCACCAAATACATATGCGCCACACAAATATGTGTGAGGGCTGTGATACTGCCCTGGTGTCCAAACCGAAGCAGGTGGTTTACTTAGGGGGCCACACCCGGAGCCTTTGACCTGAAAGTGACCCACAAGGCAGTGGAGCATCGTAAGGAGATGCAGTCCCATGGTAGCCGGTGACCAACGATTGGTTCATACGCCATTTGTTCCTTCAGGATACTAGAGCCAATGTGCACCATTGGTTTGGGATCCGGTTAAAGCGCCGGGCATTCGCTTTTCGTCCTCTCATTTTCGTAAGCAACACCCCCGCCACGAGAAGGCAGTGAGTAGGACTTCCCTGGCAGAGGCTGTATACGCGTGGCCATGTGAGAGCATTCCGAGAGGGAGAGCGGACTCTCCCCACTCTCGGCCGTACCAGGGCATTTGGGGGCAAACTGAAAGCCAGCGTCATTACATAGCATACATTATATCTACATTATACAAATTGCCTACTCATTCTGAAGTAAATTCTATACATAACTGTGCCTTATTAACAAATCATTTTCTTTACCAAGTTAGGTAAGTGTTATAACGTTCGGTTTTCTTTCACCTTCCCGTATGGGAAGTTAATTTACCTTAGACGAATATCTACGCTAGATTCCCTCCCAGTAACTATTTTACAGGACTTCAACACAACTCAAATCAAAAACACGTGATTAGCCTGACCAGAACGTAAATATATTTCCACACAAAAACCCGACACAATCTAACAACAATGAACAATCAAAAATAATAATATGGGAATATATAACTCATTTGACATCCGTCAGACTATCTACAAGTCTGACTAAGCAAACAACCAATCATTCTCATTCTCACACAGACGTAAATTAAATCACAACAAAAACCATATTATTACATGATATACCCAGAAATTATTTAAAGTATACTTTAAATATTTCAAGTTTTAAGTCAATCAAGTGATCCATATTCTTTCAATACATTCACTTATATAGTGTTAAATGAAGTACATTTGGTAAATATCAAAATTTCTGTTAAAATAATCATAATAAACTATACAGAAACTTTGCATTAATTTAAAATCGAAACGATTTTGATAAACTGAAGAAATTTCAATGGTTAAGATCATGAGTCAATTGAAGATAGACCACCATGAAAATCTTGGAAGCACTGGGCGGCCGTCTCGTCCCATTGTGGGACTCCTCAACAGTACGCAACCAGGATCCCGCCTCGTAAGATTTGAACCAAGGACGTATCAGTTTCGCGCGCGAGCACTTAACCTCTAGACCACTGAGTCGAACTTCAACTAATCTACGAAATTGAGCAACACTATAGTATCCACAAAAACCCTTCAGATATATAAAATTAATAAAAATTCCATATGATTAGTGTTATTTGTATAAAAGGGACTAACTCGGTATCTCGGTATTTTCACTATTTTACATTGATGATACATCCCTATTGACTATCATTATGTTAATGTTTTTCCCTCAAATAAAATTTATTTAGTTGTTTCTATTTAATTTACATCTGGAATCTAAAGCCATTAAAAATATATAATTCAAGTTATATGCACCCTCTTTAACCCTACTAGATATTTGAACTAATCAGTATTCTTAGTTACATTGAAGATTGATGAAGTGAGAATTTCATGAGAATCAACTGAATTAAAGTAGACTTTAAAAATTGATCAACTACAGCATTTCTTAAAAGTTGAAGCGGTTTCTCTTGAACGACTAAGCATATTACACAGTGATATATGTATACAAGATGTAATTGAGCTTCGGTGCATATAATTCGTCATAGTCTAAAACAAAGACTATAAAGTTAATCTTTATATATATATATATATATATATATATATATATATATATATATTGATTCAGATACACTGTCACTGATAACTTATATGATTAAGTAGTCTGTTCTTTTTAGGTATTTAAATTATGAAAATTATCAATTTCATCATTTTCAGACGTATTCAACTGAATATTATGTGTAAAACTAACAGATTTATCAATGCTCTTATGTACCATATACATTTTTATGATTAAACAATTATCTACATTTATGAATAGAATCTAAAAGTGACACTATTGTGAAAAGTTAATATGTAAGATACTACTCATTTTGAGAATTTCTTAAATATATTTTATTCATGATGCATTAATTAGCTGTCTATTATGTAAATGTAAGACATTTGATTTTCCTGAGTATTTTATGTATGCTATCATAGCCTAATTGTAATACAAAAAATATGCCTATTAGAAGGTAAGTTGTGACTTAAAATATATTTACTTGAGGAACCCAAGTGTAAGAAACAGTAACTTTCATTAAAATTTTCTCTTCCTTTATTTGATTAGGAATATATATTGTATAAAACAAAAGTTTACTGGCTAATGTAAAGTAAACTGAAATCATGGAGTGTTTAAATTCAGTTCCTGTTGACAAATGTTGTTTAGTTGTACAAATGCCAACAGTTGAAGAAATGAAACGTGAAGTTGCTAATATTACATGTGAAATGCAATCAGTTTATATTGACAATGCAATTGTATTACCATCATCAGAAGTGCCAACAACCATTACATCACAAGATACCATTACTACTACTGCTGCTACTACTGTTGTAAGTAATTTCAGTCCAATAAATTATCATACAATCCAGTTAGATAATAATACAACTACTGAAATAAATTCAATTAATTCTAATGTAAATGATAAATCAACTATGAATTTAAAGGTAAATCATTTTATTCCCATGAATGATAGCGCTTAATTTGTATGAAGTACAATTGTAAGTTATATCTCTATTTGTCAATTATAAAAATCCTTATTAAATAACAATTGTTTACAATTTCTCGACCATACACGATGATGTATATATGCATAGTTATTATCATGAGAATTTGAATAGATAACCTCTCTTATATTGTATATAATTCATTCCTTGAAATATGTTTAATAATATATACATATAATTATAAACAGAATACTGAATGATTAATAAACATGACCTAACAATATGATATATCAGTCAAAGATATAAAAATTTGAAATGAAATAAGTCTAGTTTTTAACAATCACTTGAATCCTGATGGTTTTAACTATATAAACGTAAATAGATTCTATATTGTAACTTCGTATGAAAGATTATAGTATTGTTCATATAGTGCAACATGTAAATAAGAGATATGAAGTTCATGTCGATAACATTATTGATATAATTGAAAATTTTAAAATTCGTAGAGTAAAAATTTAGTGTTATTTATTACTTAAACTGGATATGAGAATTTTTAAATTTTAGTGAAGCGTTAGACGAAAATAATTACAAGATTAGATATGAATAACCTAAGTAATAGAAATAATCTACTGATTAAATTCACTTGATATAGTTTACTTGAATCTTCTCATGGTTATTTATTCTCTGAAGAAGTGACTTACACTAAGTCACGAAACGTCAGAAAATCTAATTTTCTATTGATTGGGATATTACAAGTATATTATTTATTTATAACAATCAATCAAATGCCCAATTTATTCGAAATTATCAAATCAAACCTTGGTAATGATACCAACTTCCCATTGATGTTTAGGACTGCAATTGATCAGTCTGTTATTGGCATATGTACATATCGTGTGTATTTCCTTGATATCGACTTTTGATATTGTCGTTTGAAGCGAATGGTACTAGATTCGAATCCTAGAGTGGACATCAACTCTGAAATGCAGGTACATCCAGCTGACGAGTCCTAAATAGAAAGAAACGCTCGTCCTGGATTCCACTACTAGCCACCATCCATCTTTCTTATAATCTACTGGTTAGTTCATAGTGAAAACAAATAAAATAAATGACTATCTATCTTAACAACGAAATCCCTTCACTTATGTATTTATTCTTGATTGTCTAGTTTTTATTTTTAATAAATGGCTGAATATTTACAAGAACAACAACTTTCTATCAGCGTATTCCTACAAGATTCTAATACTAAAACTAAGCCTTATTAGTATGTTAAACATTGTTTAAATAGAATAAAAAACTAAATAAAAGGGATTTTATTCATTTTCTCAAATGATTCACATTAACAGTCCAAACAAATTTATATGCTAAGATCCATCACATACCAAAATTTATATAATATTTTTCAATCATTTTAAATATCATCATTTAATTACCAACATGGCGCCAAATAAATATATTGATTCATTAAAAGAAATTCTGCACAAAATTCAAATTAATTTAATACATTCTAAATGTGAATAGGATTTTAATCGACATTTTTTTAATAAACGAATTGTTACTTCTATAAAATAGGTAAATAACATTCATAAATTAGTAACTAATCCAATCAAAATAGAATAGTAATAATAAAATCGATATGTTTATAACCAAGGTATTGAATAAATGAATGATTCTAGATACACGATTTTTAAATGAAATCATAAATCAGATTAATTTTACTATGAAATTTGATCTTTTTTGTATCTATCTATATGAATTAATAAAATTTCTCAACTTCTAAAGATAAAAACATTTGAAAGTTAAAACCATCTAAAACTTATTTTTATGTAATTTCTTTTTTGTATTACAGTTTTAAAATAAACTATACACCTGTTATATCATATTTCAGTAGTGATTAACAGTGGAATGTGTTTCATCTTGTTGAGGTTTCATCAGCTAAGTATATATATTCAGCTCATTGATGATATGTATAGTGACATTCGAATTAAGTAAACATCGTTTCAATAAGCAAGTTATTACTAGTTACTTGACACAAAAGTCATCACTTGTCCAAAAGATAGAATATCTTTTAGATGAAGAGGAATTATGGGTTTTTAATTTATCGGCTGTGAGGGGCTGATGAAGTTTCTTATGTTTTGACAAAATAGCCGTCCAACGCTCCCTGGTTTTCAGTGGTATCCCTATTGATATCAATCTGTGACGAACGTAATCTACAAATGAGATATCTATTTTTTAAGCGGAAAGCTTCTGATATTCAACAAAACATTTGATAAAACTTTGTTGGTATAAAAGTTACATGAGTGGGCATATAGTATTGTCGGTATCTACAGAATGACTATCTTTGCACGATGGCTAGTGGTAGGATCCGGTGAAGAACTGTCCTTTTGATAACTAACCAACGTCAAGAATTTAAATCTCACTATTTATGGACTTATTAGAACTTGAATGGTGAATACTAATATAAATGATCTTAACATCAAGTTGAATTGTATTCGCGGGTGTTAACTTTAACCTAAAGGTTAGTCTAAAGTAATAACTACCAACTTGATGGTTTGTTTTGTGCGCATTTATTTATTAGATCTAAATATTATCAAGCTCTTAGGTAGCCATGTCTTTTTAGATAAAATAAATCTCAGTTTAGTTTTTAAAGTGCATGTTTATTGTTCTTGTATTTTGCCTTTTTTATAACTTTTCATCAAAATAGACAAGAAACTATGATACAAAATACGGTAGCATGAATCTTCCATCTGACAATGATTATCAACAACATAATTCACCTGATTCTAGATGGTCAACACTGAACATTGATGGTGATTATCATAATGAAAATGATAATATAGATGAACAAACTGATGGAAATGATGAAGTTGATCAATTTAAATTAAATCGTTTTGGTAGTATGTTGGTAGATCGAAAGAAAGCGAATGAAAATTCTTTTTCTAAATTTATTTCACCATCAATTAATAGTACTTCAAGTTGTCCAAGAGAAGAACAAGTTTCCGAAGAATTTATTATTAATGGAAAGCGTTACAGACAAGTTTATCAAAGGCGTATTGTATTAGAAAGAAAAACAACAAGAGACGTAAGATATATTAAGGAAACTTTACTTTTGATTTTGACAGTACTGATAAAGTTATTTATTTAATATAGTTATTGTCATTACTTGTTGTCGGACACAGGGTTACTCACGTTACTTTAATAAATCACTTCGTAAAATCTACATTAATATAGTTCGATGCAATAAAATAGTATAGCACATTGATAGTAAATGGAAAAATAGTATCTACTACTAGACAGCTTTCTTGGTCTGTAATAGTCTCCTATACTGTTTGGTACTAAAAAGGATAATTATTTGTTTAAATTAATACGTAGTTTCATAACTAATTTGTTACTTATAAAAAGGTTCAGATAATACGACCAATATATATTGTCTCAGATAGGATTAATTCTTTATTTCATGGTGTTTGTAATATTTCTTTTCATTAGTTTATTAACTCATCACTGATTAGATTCTGTTAGTGATAAATTTTTGTCTTACGAACATTCATTAACCTCATGAACTTATTACTGATTTAGATTCATAAATATTATGTTTTTGTTTAGGCGGAGTTTTATTCTCTGAAGTGGATGGTTTGGTCATGGAGTTGTCATTGTTCTTTTGAACAACATCATCAGAATAATAATGAAAACTCCACGACTAAACCATACAGCTGAGAGAATAAAACCCTACATGAATCATCTACCTGAGCTACAAATTTTCTACATCATTTTTTTTGTTTAAATTCGAATTTACCAATTCAGTATGTCTAGATTTACCTTTCAGATTATCAGGTTACAACAAATTTCATTTTTTTTTATAAGAATATGTTATTACTGGAGAGTAGTATTTTTCTTATCCTAATCTCATAATACATTTAAATTACATTGACAAATGCCGTCACTAATTAATAATATGTGATATAATGATACAGCTCATTTTGTTATTACATGCTACTACTACGATAATCTGACAAAGGGATCTCTTAGGAATTGGAATGTAGTAGAATAACTTTACTCACTACGAATAAGTCTATACCGCACAATGGCAGTAAACACCAAATTGTTAGTAAATACTGTGACTTTTGAGTTTTATGAATAGTATTTTGAGACAATGAACTATTTTTAATCTATGAAATTAGTTGCACTATAAAATAGTCAGATCTTATAAATACCTTTCTGTATGACATTTCTTCTAATGACAATTGCCTTCATAAATAATGCTTTTTAAGTTAGATTGTAGCTGGCAGTGAAATCCAGGAAACTGATTTCTTTCCACATAGTAGTCATAATCTAAGTGTATCTATCGATTGGTGCTTACATTCTCATTCTCACCAGATCCTAGTAGATAGTGAATGAGAACACATGTGAGGAAGATCAAGTTTTTCTGGAAGCACGATCACACAATGATTTAGTTAATTGTGAAGATAACACATCAAATATATCATTTGCACATCATCTTAAAGTCTTCTCTTAAAAGCTCCTTTGCTCTTTCGTTCGTGTAGTTATCTTGATTGCTTTCAGTTTTCTTCTCTCTCCTCTTCATTTCGATCGCAAGCATCTCACTTCCGACTGGTGTTACATACTACTTAGATCTGCAAGTATAAGTATCATATACTACATTATCTTTGCTTGAGTCCAGACAGCACCTACATTGTGAGACTGAAATAAATTTAATTTTGTAATGGATTAGCTCTTCCTGTTAATATTAAGGACTACATTTCATCAATCATCTTTTGGTGAATTCTCATCCTGAGCCGACTGTCTTTATGTCACCAATAAAACAATATGACTTAACGACAATATAGAGGCGATCAGCTACGAATCCACATATACCAAAAAAGACTGATCAAATGTTATATTCACTGTCAAGTGTAAAACTCAAACCATTACAAAACGAATTACGTATCATGAAAATTTAGCATTAATATGCACATTTAAAGACTAGCAATGTGACAGATTTTAAAAATCGAAATTTCTTAATCATTTATGTATAATTTAACTCTATAACCAAGAAATTTGACTCTATTTATTTCCGTAGGTGTTTTTTCTTCCTGGAAGTAATACTGATACCGAAATTCGACTACCAAGTAAAAATCAATATGAGTATAGATCTCCACATTATGACGAACAAGTATCAAGTATGGTTTCAAATGAACAGTCCACAACTAAGTCAATTAGTTCAACTAATGGACATGTAATAAATAGACCTGGTCTAGATCTCACCGTCTTACATACAAAAAATAACGCACATAATGATGAACCTTGCCTCTCACCAGCAATCGTTGTAAGGTCTGTTAATGGTAGTATGATTAATTATAAGCACACTGAAAATTCAAGTTGTTCACAATGTACAACTTCAACTGAAGTTTCATCCAAATTAATTGATACTATTAACCCAATTGCTTTAACTCAACAAACAGATAATATGGAACATTTAAATACAAATGTATCTGAAGTAAATAGATCTAGTTCCAGAGCACGAAAAATAGTCCGCAGTCTATCTAACTCACTTAAACGTTCTCTATCTACTGGTATTCAAAATACACGAAGTTTAGTTAAATCAATACCAGGAAGGTCTAAAGAAACGGAATCAGCTAATCAACTCAATAAATCACGTACATCGATCAATAATGATTTATTAGTAGACACTTCAATACAAGACAAGGAGTTTAAAAACAATCACGAACTCATTGAGCCAAAATCAAAGCAAAGTAAATATCTTCATGCAATAAATTTTGTTTGCACAGATCAAGTTGTTTATTTTATTTATTATTAAATGTTTAGCCTTTGAAAAACAAATTTGTTGTTAATGGTAACTTACCAAAGTGCTTAAATCTAAATTTCTTTTTAGACTAAACTTGCATCAGTCGTCACTTTAATTTCGATAAGTGGTAGGTATAAACCTGGATCATACTAAAAAAATGTGATTGAAGTTAAGATTCGAAAGTGGTATGAAATGAAATCGATAGAGCAGTCGTTTACAACTTTTCTAATAACACGATAAAATATGATTGGTAAAACGATGACAATAATAAAAAACAAACAAACTGACCATAAAAACACTTTACATACAGAATACAGATTAGTTTAAAAATAAATTTTAACAATATTTTAACTGTTGTCCTAAATTTATAAATCGTCGCATTCAAGAACAAAACAACAGTCCATTGCTTCTAAGTTTTTCATGGTTGTCTAGTTTCAATTGACTCATGAATTCAACAGTTACATCCCCCCTTTTTTTCTATTGGACACACATCAAAATGTTTAGCCTAATGATCACAATCATCTAGAATTATGTTTTGTATATGTACTAGTATAAGTAATCTATATCACAGTAGGCAATGAATTTTAATTGGAATTTTGAACATTTCACAACATGAATAATATAAATTAATTTAATAATTAGATTTACATTACGTGAGATTAACAAGCAAAGTTATTTATGTACGAATAATTACTTGCACAAAATACATTAATTTACAAGTAAGACATGCTGATGGCCTTGAGTTAACCAATCAGAGTTAAGATAGCTCTTTGTCTATTTTGTGCAAAATTTTAAGTGTAGTGATAAATAACTTGTATATTATTATTAAATAGATGAAAGTTGACGACAATTAATTTTTAGAATTCTGAGAATCAATCAACCAGAACGTGAATTTAAGATAGTGCTCAAACTAAAATAAATAAAAACACATATCTGCTAACAAGGCAAATTTTTTGTTAAAGTGCTTAGTGTGATTCAACTAGTAATCAAGAATATTTAGTATTATAAGCAAAGATGGATAGTGAATAGCGTCCTGGATTCCACTGCTAACCACTATCCATCTTTGCTTATAATGATTGTAAATTAAGGTAATATCAAGGCAATACGCACAGTATGCACATATGCCAATAAAATACTGATCAATTTCAGTCCTAAACATCAGTGGAAAGATTCAAGTAAAACAATACCAAGTGAAGAATATTTAGTGATGCTAGATGATATTCTTTTTTTCTAACTCTTTCTCTAAATCTCAACCCTAAATTCAGTAAGTTTGCGAACAGAAGGATAGTAAAACATTGAATTATAACTGATGATAAACTCAGTCTAAATTCATAAGTTCAAATCAAAACCGATGTCATTTGGTGACGAGAACTCACGGGTGTGATAACCCTAAGTCAGAATACTATCCCGACTCCTAATATGTAAACGTGACCTTTTCTCCTTACAACAGATAATAATTTGGCATGTGAGTAGTAAGATTACTGTACTGTTACTTTATTACTATTTATTGCCAATTGGTTTATAACTATGCAGTGTTTCCTCATTGGTTGATAAGTCTCCCAAGGTCATAGCATAATATCTTAATGTCCAAGTTCATATAAATTATAACAGCTTATTCATTATAGAAATAACAAATAATCAAGTTGCTAAATTAACTAACTCTTAATACATGTCCTTTGAACATGAACAACATAAATAAATGCACTTCTGACATCTCGTATGACATAAGAATATAGAAAAGCTAACGATTAATGGTTAGTCGAACCTAAGCATAATATACTCACATTATTAGTTTGATATAGATCAAATTATATTTTGCCACTATAAAACAAAGCATAAGTTCACTGAAGCAATAATCGTGCCGACGCAATGTATTAAATTTAGAGTGTACAAACGGAACATATCTAATTAGTTATCTTTAAATCAAGTCATATGGTAGTTTATAATTCAGTGATAGGTCAAATTAAACGTTAATTACTAAATTAATTTCTTAGTATAATCTGTTTCTAAATATTTTAGCAGATAGTAAATATAGAATGATCAATATTCTTTACTTCATACTAATATATTTTAAATTTAGTAATGGGTTACATGTATAAATTTGGTGTTTGGGATGATCAACAGCCAGTTTTAGATCCACGTTTACCCGTATTTTTGAATTCATCTATTGAGAATAATTCACATTTAAATGGTACCGTTATTCCTACTGCACCCGAATGGCATCATGCAGAAGTTGGTTTAGAAAATATAGAAAAGTTTCAAGGAGCTTATGTTCGTGGTCGCACAGTTGCTTGTTTGCAAAGATTTACACAACATAGTCCAGCTAGTGGTAAAGCATTACATAGGAGTACTTATGTACAACAAACAAGACTAGTTCGTCAGGTATGTATATTTTATGTAAGCTAAATATTATAATTCTATTCGTTACGTCTTATTAGTTTTTCCAGTGTCAAATTTAACTTCTCTACAAGAATATCTAGTACTTTATTTAATTTTTTATTTATCTCTTGGAGTAACTTCATCTGGATAACTGATAAAATTATGAAGTCTATGGACAGCTGTTTAGTCTCTGAAGCCAAACCTATCAGAGTTCTAAAACGCAGATTGGAAATTTAGTAGTTCATATTCCTAACTCCAGTCACTTCATGTTATAGCTTGAAAATTATCCAGTGTTTTTCTAGATGTCTATGTCACCACCAAGAAAAATGAATTTCACCATTCACAGCTTTTCAAATAAACCTCTGAAGTTCATCTAAAAGTTATTTGGCAATCAGCAGATAGATATTGGTACTGAAATGAAGATTTGATCAAAATTAGTCAACCTATTTTTTTAACGGTTATCTAACTGATACGTTTATGATATCAATAAAATTCAAAAATCCCCAAGGCCTCAGTATTGAGAATATTATTATTTTCGCAGGTTCTGGAGGTTAGTTTAATTAATCAAGAACTGACTAAAGTAGATAGCTGGGTTTTAACTGAGTGACTTTCAGAAAGTTGATAATTAGTATACTAAACGGAATGTACTAAGAAATCACTTTGACAAAGCAAAAAGAAAACTGAGACAACACCTACTTTCTAGATGTTTTATTGATGATAAGACCTGGTGGAACATCAAAAAAGGGTTGATGAGAAGCTAACTACACAAAGTCAATGCACACATATTTTGAGCTCTATCTCATTAAAACATAAAAGAAACTTATTCAAATGCTTGGCCAAAAGAACGAAAATTATCTGTTCTAATGACACTCTTGAAGAGGAAATACGACTTATTCATAATTCATATTCATACGACTCATTCATATTTACTAAGTAAACACAAATACTTTTCATAATCCTAAACCAAACATGTGTCTGGAACTAAGTCTAAAACTAAAACTACTGACGATGACAGATCTTTGCTTCTAACATAACAATTTTAAGAGTGATGTAACTGTCGAAATAGTTATTCGATGTATATGGAAAGCATTGGGACATACATTTCAAACAGTAAGATTATCTCTATCTCTTTTCAACCAGCCAACAGTACGTTCGCAAAATAATGATAAGCTGTCTATTTCGTTCTGCTTCCCATGGTGCTTATCATTTTAACTGCTCTGGAGAATTCATTTATACTGTATGTACAACTAGATAAAGACATTAGTGTATTACGGAACATCTGTAGTATCGGTTGCTATATCGAGTTCACATAGTTTTAGACAGGCCGATTTATTCATTCCTCTTGAGTCACATTCTGACTTAGTTAATAATTCGATTATCAACCCTGATTGTTTTTATATAAGCGTATTTGCGTGCATTGCTTATCCTACTCATCACATATCTGTAATTTATTTTCGTCCAACTATAAATATCGATTAATGCTTGATTAAATCGTGTTGGCGCGTCATTTCGGTTTGTTTCGCTTTCCGATTAACGATTGAACGAAATACACGTATTCGAAATCCATTCTCATATTTAACTTATTTAATTCCATTATTCACTAACGTGATTTAAGTCGTTAACTATATGCGAGGATTAACGATATGTACATTTCAATAACAATCATTCATACGATCGAACTGGAGTCAGATCTTGGGCCATTAAATATGGCTCCTCATGGTTGATTACAGAATATCCTCAATGAAGATGCTTCTGTACGACGTCATATACAACTTATAATTATAATATTGTTCTTAATTCTCTGAAGATGATTATACATATGGTAGGAAATATATAATGATATAATTACTTTGGAAACCTAAAGATATGATAGTGCCATAACTCTTGAAAAAAACATAAAAATTGTTCTTTAAACAGTTTCTTGTTCAACTAAACTGTCAAGTGTGGGTATAATAGAGTGTATAAGAAAAATAACTTTATCGATAAATATCTGACCACAGAGGAAACAAGGTCGTCATCAACATAAAAATGCAAACACACTAAGTTAAAAAGTAAAGTTGATATTCATATCCAAACTCTTGAAAACGTTACCAGTGAATAGTTTATCATAATAAATAAATTTCATAAATTAGCGATGGTTTTAGAATTGCATTACTGAAAATATATACACATATATTTGTTGCAGGCACCACTAACTTGGTGGCTAAGACGTTAAGACTCTTAGTACAAATATGTCTTTAGAAGTACAAATAATATATTTGTGAAATCTCAATAAGTAGAAAAATTAGATTTTCTGACGTTTTGTGACTCAGTGTAAGTCAATTCTCCAGAGAATAAAGGTTATTATTCAAGAATGACCGAAAGTTTGATGGTACAAGGACTGATTAAAAAGTTAAGTGGTCAGTTTTATATAATGGCAATTAATCTCAGTTTTGGAACATTCAATGGTATCATTCAATAGATTTCACATACTGTGTAAATAAAAAATATGTATTCATTTAAAATATTCAGTGATTAATTATAACAATCATTGAACGATATATCTGTCTTTGTCAAAGAAATTGGGATTCAAATCATATGTAAGCAACTCACATGTTAGCCTGCTGTATTCATAAAATGCCATTTGGTCAATATGTAATAATTCTGTCATTTAATATCTCCAAGGTTCTCCAAATGAAATTATTTTACTGTGGTATTCAATAGCAGTTTGGTCATATTCAATTTTCGCTTATGGTCGCCGATGAGGAAGATTTAGATAATACATAGTAGTTAATGAATAATATTAACATTACCATTATTCAGCACTTTCATTAAAAATATACTTCTTTGCTCTTTTTAATCAGCTTAATCGAAGCGGTGAAAAGAAGAAAGGAGATACTCTAAGTGGACTAAATGAAAATCTCCAAGGTAAAGTGTGTGAACAAGAGGAACATACTTTTAGCTCGACCCCAATACATCTTACTGATCCATGTATATTTGATAGTGAACAGTTAACCAAGTAAGTTACCGATTTTTCAACAGTTTGAGCTGACATATAGTCTTATATTTCACGCTTAGTGTTGTTGTCAAAGATTGTTATGACTAAAAAAACTTCTATTTTAGACTCTATTGATGAATCTATTTCTCTTGAATATACTCACATTATTTTTTATAACATTAGTCTTTTAACCTAATCAAGTCATTATCTTTCAGTAATTCAACAAGCTGATTACAAGAGCCACTATAACTTTTATTCTATTTCTAATGGTTTAGATTATTCCGTTGAAATTTGATCAATTTTAATTGAAAGGTGTGAATCCTGAACGGATCACCTCGATATATCTATTATAACACAAGTTTAGATGCAATACAGCTAACAGTGGGTGATCAACTACCTGAATACACTAGTTAAGTGGACAACTCATTACCATTTGAAGTGAAAGGTACTGGATCCGAGCCCCCCAGTGAATAACACCAGTTCTTGCAATAAAGTTACATCTAGACGAAGAGTCTCAAATAGGACAAAACGCATATTCTCTATTCCACCTTCCTTCACTTCAATATACTGTAGTTTTTATTGATAAACGACAATAGGTTTAAGGACTATTTAAACCAACTACAAAACTTATGATCTTCAATACCCTTTAGGATTTTAAAGAGATACTAATATTTGATTATTGATATGATCTCAAATCCAATTCTCATTCAAAAATAAACAAAATTGTTTTAATAAAAAGGGACCAACCCAATTCAATCAAATAGTTTTATAACAATACAAAACATTAGACTTTTACAGTTATATCAATTGAAATTTCAAAATAATAGTAATAATAATACATGCTCGATTGAACTGAAACAAATATTAACCATTAGAATTGATTGTTTCACACTAAAAATAGAAACATATCTCATTTATCATTAATAAAGTATAATACTCAAAATTATCGATTAGATTATATGAGTATATTTTGAAATAATAACAGTTTTAGATTGGTATACAAAAAATTTAATAATTGAATTAATTCAATGTCTATTTATGTATGGTGATTACATTAATTGAATACTTTTGAATGATAAAAATTAGTAAAATAAAATGGAATTATTGTGACCTGTTGTTGTTAAGGGGCATAATGTTTTGTAGATTTATTGGTGATTGATTCCACTTGTTGTTAGTATTTCTTTTTAGAAACTAATGGAATAATTATGGTACAATATTTATTTTTTTAAATGCTCTAGAACTTTTTAGACTCTCGATATTAGTACTGTTATGTTGATTGAACCTCTCATTTCTGAGGTGACAAATATTACCTAACTTCCTTACCTCATCTGCTGAGAACAAATCTAGTCCACGATTATATAATTCATCATCTCAATTTGAGTGTTTACAGGATTACTGTCTATAGAAACCCAGTTTTAACGTATCTGACTGTGAAGCTGGTTGACACGAGATCGAATCCGTCAGGGAGCACCAGTTTTCTTAGTATTACAAGTACACCAAGCAAACGAGTGCCAAATAGCACGAAACCCGGGTCCAGGGTTTCCTTTTGACTACCTCCAACCATCATCTTATGTTTATTTTTTACATCATTCATATCAGGCTAAATTGATCTAAATTAGTTATAAGCGAAAAAATGGAAATGTCTATGTTAAAATCCGAAGTATTTTGATCACGTGTGTGTGTGCGAAACGCAATATATACGTATATCAGAATCAGTGGTTTCAATAATGTGTTTTAATTCAGTCATATTATAGTGCTGAGTGCTTTGTGACTATTTTACAGAATGCTGTGACCAGTTTATTTCTCGGGATAACCGATTTTTCGGGTTTTCAAATATTGCAGTTTGGTTTCTTACCTAAGATTTGTATTAACTGACTAGCTATATATATCGCTTGCTTTTTTATCCACATGACAATTTTAAGGCTTACATTCTATCAGAATTTAAAGCGCTGTAAAACCTAAGAGTGTATACTTCAAAAATGGAAGAGTTTTCTTTTGCTCATCCTATTTTGATCGAATATTGGGATGTTTTGTATGTAAAGAGAAATTCAGGTACACGTGGCTCTCTTAACCAGCATCGATAACTTCGTTATTAAAACCTCTGTAGTAATACAATCGGTCGAAATTAGTTTTGATTCAGATTAGTGAAATATAATCACTGTGGCAACAATTGTTTTCATATATCTTTCAACGTTTGCAATGAAAGTGTGTATTGTTAAACAACATCGTCATAGAACTTCGGATTTTGTGCTGAAATTTTTCAAATGGATTTATGACTATTTAATACTTTGACATAAATTTATCAATCACAATACCACCTACGTATTGTTCATTACCTCATTATCAATACTTGATCGTTACCTCGTAATATTCTTAAACGTTACCATACAGTCATGGTGGAATATTGACCGAACTAACACAATTCTTTGCTTATTCTATCCTTTTCTAACGATCATAAAAAATGATATCTACTCCATATATATGTATCATGAAATATTACTAGATATGAAATGAAACCAAACTATAATATTCAGTCAACATCTGCAAAGTTTATTCAGTGTTCAAATGATCGCCTACAATTGTTACAATCAATTTGTCCATCAGCGGCTGCTGCAACAATTCTGTTGGGTAAACCTATACGTGATTCACACGATAATGATGATGTTAAACAAAATATTTTGACCAAATCTAGTGACCTTGATGAAACTCGTGTTCTGGTAACAGCAAACTCATGGTGCCCAGTGTCATTAAGAACAAAAGATCCTGGATCACAGTTAATATTCAATTCCATTTATAAGGATAATAATAACAATACTCCTACAAAAACAAATACACCAAAACATTCACCGTCGGTAAGCGAAATGTATTTTTATATCTTGTGTAAGTAAACGTGATAGTTTATCCACAATCTTCATATTGGTGAACCACTTTTGAAACCAATTACATACTAATCAGAAACTGTCATTTTTTAAAGCCTTAGTATCGATTAAATTCCTGACAACTGCGTTCAACCATACAAAGTTTTACAAAGTTGATGAAGGGTTTTGGGACACAATATTAGTAATAATAAAAAGATATGAAGATTTATTTATCACTAAGAACTAGATAGTAAAATCATGGAAACTGCTAAAAGATTTACTATAAAGAATTCAGTCAATCTTTCCTCTTGTGGCTTAATGGTAGCGTTTCTAGTTATGACATTGAATGATAAAGTTTCAAATAACACATAGAACATTATTCACGTCAAAATAATAGATGAGTTTAGATGATATGTGTTGCATAACCTATATATGAAACTGATTTTCTACCCAAAGCCGAAGTGTTTTGTACTAAGGATACTTTGATAATAAATAGTATTTCAACAATCCTAAAAGGATAACAGTTCTTCAAAAGTATAAAATATGTATTTAGACGAAATGTAGTCACTAAACAAAGTATCTAGTTTTCATAGTCCGTTTATGAAATGCGAAATAAATAGATACCGATGAAACTTTATCAAAATACTGTGCAATCTCATGGGACTAAATCCCATCTAAACTATATATATATATATATATATATATATATATATATATATATATATATATATATATATATATATATATATATATATATATATATATATATATATATATATATATCGTCTAGTGTTTGAATAATAAACTGAAAATTCCAAGTGTTTTCTGTATACTTGAATAAAATAACTTTTATCATTCATTAAAATCTGATGGAAAAGTAATGATTAACTCAATAACTTACATATTTAAGTAGTATAACTGCATTGTATTATTTCAATACAATCTTATCAAATCATATATTCTATTCAATGTATTTGAAAAATGAATCACTTCATTGTAATATGCAATTAATCAGGAAATAAGATCAAAAGTAGTGAAATACAGTTTAAAGTCACATAGGCATTTAAGATAAAGAGCAAATATACTAGATAGCCTTCTTTACTTGGTTTATTCATTATCAGAAGAGAAAATGGTCTATTCATATATTCTTTCTATAGTAAGCCTGCATGGACAAAACAGTATCACAGTTGTCACAATTATTTCCACTTAAAAAGAAACATGATATACTAAATACGCAATAAATAGAATCGGCCAAGTCGATGCAAACAAAGCAAAATGTAGCCATAAAATAAAACACTGGAAAACAATTACGATTTGTGTACCAATGGAGAGGCCCTAAAATACTAAAAACTACTTTTCTTTTATACTTTTAAAAATATTATTTGTATCAGAAGAGATTGAAATAGGTTTGAGAAAAAGGCTTAAATTGATCGGTTAAACCTATTAAGGGTCTACGTTTATCAAACTTAAAAATAACGAAATCCATGCATCATCAAAAATCTGAACAGAATGATGACACTTGGATCGCTTTCTATTATGTTTATCACTTTACCTGTGTATGTAAAAACATGTTTACAATAGAAACATTTGAGTTTCAATAATCCATGAAAACCTGGTGTTCATTCGTCTATCGGTAAATAGAAATTAAAAGGTTAACGAAAGTGTATGAAATATAAAACAATTTTGCGCCTAATACTATCAGCAAATAGCTGTTTCAATCACAGCTTGATAGACTCAACGCAATTTCTATTAACTTTCAAGCTTTAAAATAATGTACTTAATTTCAGTAGCTTTCTAATACCACTGAGTATAAAGTGGTTTAATTCCCGTCAACAAAACACTAAACACAATAAATAACATATTTTCACTATTTTCATAATATTTTTAGTCTGTGAGCGTACCAGAACCTACAATACGCGGTGGAACACTTGATGGATTGCTTATATATGCATTGAATTTGTTACAGATGCCTATACCAAGTATGTTTTGCGTTCTTACATGTAAATTATTCATTGTTTCAACAAATAATGATTTAGCAACCTTATTTATTCTATCTGTTGAAATAAATTATATTAAAGAATATTTGATTATTCTGTCAGCTTAAAGTGTACATCAGAAAGGAATCTTCTGCTAAACTTGATTGCATTTAGTACCAAACGATTTGTAAACATTGGTACTTTGTAAACAAAATAATAAACATCAACTATAAGTACTGATAAGTGCTTAGTGGCCATTTAAATGTTAAAGCTATAAACTGTTTATTACGGTTTAATACATGCCAGACATTTAAGGCTTCGTTTCAATTAATGACTAAAAACGTCTTCCTAATATCCATGATACTAATACAAGAATATAAGATTGAACAGTATGTATCACATTCAGTTTTACATTCTTCAAAATTGTAGATTCAATGTCTCTCAATGTTTATTATGATTTCCCTAGTTCTGCCATCTTCACAACAAGATTAGGCATGAACTTAACATAGGCTTGCCTAATTGTAGCGCATTTTAACTTCATATTAATAAACCACCGTGTATAATATCTACAAACAATATAAATTCAAATCAATACACTCCACTTATTAACTTACTTACGCCTGTTACTCCTAATGGAGCATAGGCTGCTGACCAACATTCTCCAACCCATTCTGTCTTGGGCTTACCTTTCTAGTTCTATCCAATTTTTGTTCATTCTTATGTCTGTTTCAATACACCTTAGGTTTACGAAAATTGTCTTCACATAATCTTTGCTTATTTAACATAATTCATATGCTTAAATTGTAAAAAAAAAGAAAAACAAAAAAAAACAGATTGGAGAAAATTTTTTAAAAACTTAATTGTGAAAGGTGTTATTCAAAACGAAAATAATATTTGTTAGACGGCATAAATTAATTCAATGTCAAACAAGGAGGCCAATTTATATCATTAATCAAAAAAAGAAAAAAACGATCTAAACAGTTTCGTACTGTTTCTAATGGTCTTTCATGTGGCTAGTATTTGTTTTGAAAACACTTAAATGAATTCATGATCAAAGACAACGATACGTTATTCAACACCAAGTATTATATTATGTTTATATGATGTATGATTTATTGAGTTTTACATTCAATCAAATACTTACATAAACTAATTTAAATGTCGGGATCTTTCAAACGAATGGTAATTAAGTATGTAAACGACTTGGTGATATAAAACTGTTCTAGATTGTGTTTTATGCTCATATTTTTATCGAATTAATATTGAATTTGAAATTTGCGAATACTTGAGTGTTTTCGATTCAGATTTTGATGAGACTATAATTTATGGACGACCTTTGAGAGACGCTAAAGTGACCTTGAAAATGTCCACCTAATAACTAGAACTAAATGAGGATTATAGACCAGTGGAAAATCAAAAACCATAATCATCGTACAGTTACCTATTTTTAGGAAGCAGATCATAGATTGATGAGACTATAATTTATGGACGACCTTTGGGCGACACTAAACTGACCTAGAGAATGTTCACCTACTTACTAGGGCTAAATGAGGGTCATAAACCTGTGTAAAGAACAAGAGTTATGATTTACAGTTGATGGTTAGGTTTAGGAATTAGATTTAGGGTTTTCATCACGAACTGACATCAGCTATGATGTCAAAACGCTACTTAGCCGAATTTGTATATGCATTTCGCGCCAAAACCCAAGACTCGTTACCTTGTATCTGATTGGTTCGTCCATAAATTATAGTCTCACCGTAAAAATAATTTTGTCTACCGTTATCTGAGTGGAAAATTTTAATGGAGTATTATTAATTTATATCTAAAAAACTTCTTATAACTTATTACCAAAATCTTCGATGATTAAGGTATGATTTATAGACTACCGATTAATTCAATATAAATTGTAATACTTGGAAAGCTGACTGCTCATTAAAATACTTCCATGATTTGTTCTAATGGATGGTACTTTCAAGTTTACAGACGTGCAAAATAAAAAAATAATGTGATTCTATTCCAATTTCAAAATCACGAATGATACAGTTAATTCAATTCGACATAAAATGATGACCTCTAACACACGGAAATATACTCATCATAGAAAGGTCAAAGGTTAGAAAGGAATTGATTTATTCATCTTCGTAACTTTGTAGTGGCTTTGCTTCGTCAGTTGATTACATTCGTTACATTTATTATATAAATCTCAACGGTGTTTGAAATCAGAAGGCAACAAGAAGAAGCAACTACAGTTCATTAGCGGATAGCGCAGACAACAAAGTCATAAGCATATCGAGCGAATTTGAAGCAGAGATGCGAATGTGTGTGTATGCGGGAAAATACAGAGGCAAATTTTAAGTCAAATGAAATAAGGCGCAGCCAGACAAGGCAAAGACTATTAATAGTATTTGAGTACATATATACATGGGAAAGAGAAGAATTCATCAAGCGATATTCAAGCCAGAGAATGATATGTGAATAGGCTGTCATGTGATCAAACATACAGGTTTATACAGACAAGATACTGATCATTATAGTACAAAAAAATATGAAAATTGTTACTGTTCGAACAACATTGTCTGTTAAGTAAGTTAATAAAAAGGTTTAACCAAAAGTTGACCATCATCGAAATTGATTGTAACAGAGTTGTTATAACTTGTAATATAAACAAATTCAAGTGCACATCATCATAACACAACTAATCACCTAAACTCATTGTTGTCAATAAAATTAGCATACTTGTAATATTCCAACGAGTAGAAAAATCAAATTTTCTGACGTTTACTGTTCTAATGTTGGCCACCTCTTCAGAAAATGAATAAACAAATTAAATTATTCATCATTGTAAATTTAGTTCAATCATACTGAGAAATATGTAAAGAGAAGTGTTATATGTGTTCTGAATGTACAGACCAATATAAGTGAAGTGTTGATATTTAGAACTTAAATACAGCAAATTGATATTTATATAAAACAAAACCAGAAAATTACTGATTCATTTTATTATAAATTGATTACAGGTTTTAAAAAGAGTCCCGATTGTCACAAATGTTGAACTACAAAAATATATGTACAATTAAAGTAATCAATTTGCAGCCTGACATCATGGCGCTTCCTATTATGAAAGACGCCGAATTCAAAGAGTCTAAAACAAAATGTTGCAAGGGCTGATGAACATTCACAGCACGATTAACAAACGAAACAAGATCCATAAACAGTCAGAAGACAAAGGTCTAGGTGACTGAATATTTCTCATGCCGCCTAGGTTATTGTTACATAGAGGAAGGTAGCAAATCTTACGATAAAGTAGATATAATATAAGGTAAGGAGTCGAAATAATCACAGTGACTCAGAGAAAGTGGAACAGATTAGTTACAAGTGAGAACAGGAGAAAAACAAATTATACAAAGAACCGGAACTTGTAAAACGCAACACATTCACATAAACTTAGAATGAGTGGACAAAATATGATAAACAAATATGAGAAAAATTATAATCAATGATAGATGGTGGCTAGCCGTGGAAACCAGGAAGCACCTTCCGTCCTATTTGGGACTCGTTAGCTAGATGTGGCTGCCTCTCAGAGTTGATGTTCACTCAAACCCAGATTGATCAATTGTAGCCCTAAACATCAACGAGAATATTTAAATAAACAATACTAAATAAATCAGAACAAGTGGTACTTACAAACAACAAATTAGGTCTCTAACCTAAACTGATAGATATGCAAACATGTAAATTTATTTTTTTTAAGACTGACTATATGTGATTTATCTTCCTAGGAACTTGATTGTTTGAACCATTAGTAACATGTTACTCGGAAAATCATTTAGTTTATCACAGGGATTGATCATCGCTGCATCTCATACACAAAACGCTGTAATACTGACTGTTTCATGAGAGAAAATCAGTTTTTCACCGGTAATAATAGAAGAATAAAGTAATCAAAGGAATTTTCATTATCAATGATACTAAAAAAAGAATATTAGCCTCCGTTATCATTTCGAGTTGTTAAAATCTAGGCTCGTATGCATGTTTCCATTTCTCGTATACACAGAAAATTATCATGTCAAACAGATTTTCCTGAGTTTTTCTTTCATGTAATTCTTCAGACCTCGTCATCGGTTAAAATCATACCGGACATATAACTCTGTTTGATAAAGGCACTGACTAAACTCAGAGTATTAAGAACGCCCTCATCGATCTATGAAGAAATTAAGGCACATTTTTGTTGCTTTATTTGCAAAATGCTGTTTCAGGAGTGGTCTAAGCACAAAGTATGGAGTATTTACGTACGTAGATCCTTTAGTTTATCATAACATGCAGAATGAATCGATCAATATCCTATTTCGCAACATTGCTACATCGACACGAAACATTAATTTGACTTTTACTAAATAACTAGATGATTAAGTTATTAGTCTCATGTGCAACAAATTTACCTATTTCAAACAACGTAGTATCACAAACTAAAAAAATTTAATCTGCATAACTAACAAATCTGCTTCAAAGATCCTTTGATAATGACCACAAAAATTAGCGAATGTCTGACTACAGAACCTCTACAGATGGACCCAGGTACAGTAGAAATCGGTCTATATCTAATGATTGTACCTAATCATCGCAATATGTTGTTTGAACGAATAGCTTTTAACGTTATTACATTTTGATTTTTACTACTTTTTTTCTATCAGTAACCAAATAAACAAAATAAAATAAACAATATGGGTCTTAAAGAAGTACCAATAACGGTTATTTAATTTAACATAAGTATTTTATTGTTTGTACGGTTAAAGGAGAACATCAACAAATAAAATTGAAAAAAAATAAAACCCAGTTTTTCCGCAAAAAGTAAAAATGTCACTTAAAACTACAGTTTAGTATTCACTATGTCGTTTCAAGTGTTTTCATTTCGTCCATTGACGAAGTCCAAGAATATTATGCTTAGATAACAAAAAGACTTAGTGACAGGATAAAAACAAACAACTACATATGGAGTTGAAGACTAGTCTTTAGGTCAAAAAAGCTCTGTGTACTAATCTTCTGACATGGCTTTTTCATGATTTGTAGTTGTTCACTGATGGATTATGACTGTCTAATATTAGTATTAAACACATCATGTATCCTGCATCCAAAATTCTGTGCAGACGTGAATTTTCGCGTCTTCACTGTATGGAGAGAAACTGCATTTTTAAATACTTTAAATTGATGTGCATGTCTGTACCATCTTCCATTGTGTGCGGTAGGTAGCTAACTTCACTTTCATGGAGTCCCATACTAAAGAAAAACAGCTTCCCAGTGATTCCTATTCTTCAGTGGTTACTAAACCAAGCTCAGCGTGTGGTAAAATATGTGAGAATTTAGAAATCTTCATAAACGTCTTAAGGCATAGATAATAACAAACTGAAAATGAAATTGTGGCAAGTAAATAAAAAATACCATTACCAACAAGTTCTTACATGAGAAATATTAAATTTCCACTATTTTTGATTAGCACTGTAGTGAGCTGTTCGATAAATTACTCTTGCATATTTTAATCATGCATCGCGAAATCGTTTGTAAATTTGTGATTCAATTAAGTTGGGTCCATTAAATTATTCAATTAATCAAATATCGGCAAAGAAACAGTTGGTTGGCAACACACTAGCTACCAATATCATCCTTTTTTGGTTCATTGTTGCTGATCAAACTTTGTGCATCAAGTCTCAGTGTGTCTTATAGTCTGCATGACTCAACATCGAAAACACTATTTTTAGATTCTAGGCGGTGGAACTAGTCAAAAGTAAACTCCAGACATAGGTTTTGTGCTTGTTAGCACTCGCCAGAAACTCTTACATGTGACTTTTATAGGACTAAAGCTTCACGTGTGGTTCGAATCCAAGTAGGGCTTACCGATGAGTTTCAGCCTGTATTAAGTCTAGTTCCAAGGTTTCTTCATGACATCAGCAATAAAAATTCAGCAGACAACTTTAATAACAGATTAATGTAATGATAAACACGGATAAAAATTTATTGCTTATTATTTAGACCGTTTTCCCTAAGTATGCTACCTAAAAAATAGTTTATTCATAATACTCTTCAAAGAAACATATTTAATAGATTAAAACATACACATTAAAAAAGTAAAGAACGATTCAGAGTTCATCTGTGAATATCACACGTACAACGTTGTACTATTTAAACTTGGATTAATTTTAATTTGGTTATTTATTCTCTGAAGAAGTGACTTACACTAAGTCACGAAACGTCAGAAAATCTAATTTTCTACTCATTGGAATATTACAAATATATTATTTATTTATAACTATCCACTAAACTCATACATTACCTTTTAAAACCAGAAGAACTAGTAATAAATCCTTCAGCTATGGTATGTTTATTCTTGAATAACAGTTAATTTCGATAATGCCATGAGAAGATGAAGATTATCAGAATTGCATTAAGGAAACTCGTCAAAGGGACTAATTGTTTTAAATAAGAGTTAAATTAACAAGCCATATGTATTGTCATTCAGTAATATAGACTTCTTTGTACTTTATATTCTTAGACGATTTAGTTTATAAAACTAAGAATTAAATTATTTAAAATGTAATAATTACTTTAATGTATTTAAATATTATTCATAACTGTGGTTTGCTTTTAGCTAGTCATCCAGATTATTTATTTCCTGATGTAATTCGTTTGACATATCCAACATTTACAAGTCCTGATAAAATAATTGAACGTTTAATTCAAATTTATGTTGCATATGCTCCTGTTGAACCGGGTTGTCAAAGTAATGATTGGATTGACGCTTTAGCTGCTGCAGATTATTTAGTTAGTATTGTAAGTTTACTTTGATTTGTTTCAATAAATACATAAGTCCTTGGCTCGAATCTCGCGGGGGCGGGATCGTGGATGCGCACTGATGAGAAGTCCTGTAATAGGACGGAACGACCGTCCAGTGCTTCCAGGTTTTCCATGGTGGTCTGGCTTCATTTGACTCATGATTTCAAGTAGTGAAATACATGAGTATATATATAGTATTCGACGTTTGAATGTAAACGTTTTGCTAGCCTATCTCAAGAATCGTCAAATAATAACTTCTATAACATTGTAGTGGCTGATACTATTGTAGTGAACAAGAACACAGTTTGGGACAACCAAATATGGTTTAACGCAACATTACAGAACATCTTGGTAAAATCTAAGAACCATGTAGTAATACTTTATTTGAAAAATATTCATCAATTGTTTCAGACTTCGTTGTTCCTTCGTTTCCATACCAATCACTCCCTATTCTCGTTCACTTTTCTTTCATTTTCCCAATCTTCTGCTGCCAATCATCCCACTCTCGATTCGTGATACATACTAATTATATCTGCCGACATCAGTAGCACGCACCACACTATATCAAGCCCACATAAATTATTCTAGCTTCCAGATAGACCAATTTTTCCATTCTTCTTGAGTCACATTTTGAGCTTGTCAATTATTTATTTACTAAACTTGACTGTTTTTGTATGAGCGTATGTGTTAATCCTTTACCCTACTCACTACATATCTGTAGCCTATTTTTGTCTGACTATAAATATCAAGTCACGCTTGGTTAAATCAAGTTGACTCACTCGCTTTCTTTAATGTGTGACATTTCCTTTCTCTTTGCTCTCTCTCCGCTTCATTTGCTTCGTTTCTCTGATTATCTGTTCAGATTAATAAATGCACATAACATCCGTATTCAAAACTTCATTCTCGTATTTGACTTACCTAATTCCGTTATTCATTAAATTCGATGATTATATACGAGGGTAGCCGGGATGTATATTTCAATAAAAATGATTCATACAATCCAATTGAAATGAGATACAAGGTCCACTAAAAGTAGTGAACCCGTCGATAACATCACCGTATGATCTAATTAGCATCAAAATGAAGGGTCACAAAAAACATAAAATAAGCCAAACTATATTAAGATGCCTGGAGCATCGCTTGTTCAAGTTCAAACATTTTTAGTGGGGCCATTGTTCTGTCGTCGTTTAGATCGGACGATGTTGTCGAAGCGCTCTCCACTTTAGTGGTCCGGATCTGACTCCAAATAGATCGTAATGATGTATGCTATCGCCTATCCTCGTGTATTATCATTGACTTAAATCGAGTTAGTCAATAACGGAATTAAATAAGTCAAATAACCAGAATGGAACTTTGGATACACATATTTGTAGAATCGATGATCAAACAAACGAACGGGGAAACGACGCGAAGAAAAGAAAGCGAAGCAAAAATGACGCACGGTGGAGATGGCTGGTAAGCCAACTCCCTTTTAACCAAGCATTAATCAATATTTATAGGCATACAAAAATAAGTTATACACACGTGATGAATAGTGGGATATGAAGTGTACACACGCCCACGCGCTCATATAATGACAGTCAAGATTGATAAGCGAATAATTAACAAGGTCAAAATATGACTCAAGTAGAATGAATGGATTGAGATGTCCGAAAGTTAGAATAAGGTATATGGGCTTAACATAATGACAGACACTACACATTTCTCAAGTTATTTTTTTCGTTTTAGATTTATTTTAACTGATTAGTTACACTTGTAAACCACCACTGAAAAACTGTAGATCTTTCATAAATATTCAATTGAAACAGAGACATCATTGTTGTTTCACATATTTTCTTCTTTATGAACTTTATGGAGGAATGAAATAAAATGACATTGAGATTCGTACATTCAGTATGTTATGTAATGAAAAAAATTATGAAAAAGCGTCAAGATCAGTTAGCTGACGAAGATGGAAACTAATTACTTTAAAAAATGTTTTTTTACATACACTTTAGATATCAACTTAATAAGTAAATATTAGTGGAAAATTCGTTGAAACATATTATGTTTTAACTGTGAATTCCCCCTAGTATAAAACATATGGTATTGAATAAAATGTTTAACTTTATCATTGAGTTGGAATTTATAGATTCACTTTTTAAACACTGTGAAATCAGTGAGTTTTATTTATGATCTCTGAATAAGTCACTGAGACGTGCTGCTACGTTCAATGAAAGGACGAGACAGTTATCCGATGTTTCCTGATTTTCAATAAATTTTATCAATTATATGTATATGTTGAGCAGTTTTATATCTCATATTCTGATGAAAAGATCTTTGGAGTTCGGAAGTGATGTTGTTTTATTATCTGACCAACAGTGTAGCTTCGAATTATAAGTCAGTTAGAATAATAACTGAGTTTTAATATTTAAGTAATGATAGTTTTTCTTAATAAGTTCGCTCAGTTGAGCAGTTAGAATATAACTACCATTTAATAAAGAAACTTTAGGACAACAATTGTTTTCAGTGACCTCATGTTTGGTTTGGTCGATTAGAAATCTGTGATTTTGGACCATCTATAGTAATTTTTAATAACGAATGATTAGGAGATACTCCTAGTTATCAGTGCAAGTTAAACTCAGATCCGTTTGTGATTTAAACTAAGAAAATTCAATGTATGTCCAAGGAAGGGGGAAGGTAGTACCAAACATATATGGGCGTTAGAAGAAAGTCTTTCCAATCATTGGCTGATTTGACCTAGTTGATCTGGAATATGATGATCTTATTGTTAGACTCGTTGAAGGAAACTATTGGGAATTGATATGTTTTCAAACATTCTAAATTGGTCTCCCTATATCCAGCGTAAATAAGACTAAACGTTTAGTTCACTTCATCAACCTGAGCCAAAAACTTGAAACAATAATTTCACTGAATAATGTGAACTCATTTTACCTTATAAAATTTTTATAATTAGTACATGATCTACATTAATTAATTACTTACTTAGGCCTGTTAACCCTTATGGAGCGGTAACCAATTTTAGTAAATTATCTTTTTTTCCATCCTATTTTATGCTTTTCTATTACTGTATTATGTTGTTTTATCCTGGTCTACAAATCTCAACCAAAACCTTTTGTGAATATATTGTGATCTTATGTACAAGTCATGTGGATTTCTGAATGATCTAGTATACTGGAAATCACATTCTTATTCACACAAAATTGATTATACATATTATCAGAATACTTGAATGGTTACAACCTTTCTAATTTCGTATTCTGATATAAATATTTTAAATGTTCAGATAATTTCTCAAAAGTGATGTTGAATTTCAAAACATATGCAAATGCTAAAAGTAGGATATAACCCATTTCTGTTAACATATTTTTCCTTGATTATTTATTGTAGGCAAGAGATATTCATTCAAAACAATTGACTGCTTCATTAATTCTCAAGCTTAATCGATTTGCACGTCTTCTTATGTATGATAATCAACTGATTACAAATGAACAAATACATAAAGATAATCAAATTTCAGATGAACCACATCGTGTACTTGCTGATCGATTACTAGAAAAACTACCAATTCTATCATCAAAACAAAAGTTGACAAATTATTCAAACAAATTAAACAATATAAATAACGACAGTGTTGATTACATTTCGACGATAAGAAATTCAACGGTAAATAAAACTGAATCAAATAATTCATGGTCAAAACAACCGTTAGTTATCAATGATTCATTAACTGAACAAAATAATACAAATTTAGGTGGAATAAACAATCATAATTCCGTACAATATTCAGCTTTGGTAAATACGGACAGTAAAATATGCATTTGTGAACCGCAAGAAGATGCCATACAAAGGTATGTTATATATATAATTTCCTTGTAATGAACAAAATTAGATCATGAGAGCAATAAAAATTTACCGCCATTATTCATTTGAAAACGAACAAACAATATAAGTGACATTAAATCTATGCATTCAGATCTACATCTAGCTGAGTGATGACATCTCAGACAGTTTGATTAAAAAGGTACTTAGTGAAAAGCAGATTTACACCTGTAGTGTAATCGTCCATTAAACTGTGAAATTTGATCTTCTATATTCACAGAAACGTCAAGAAGGCTCAATATCAATAGCTTAAGGTGATCTAACGATCTAATATGGAGCACAACTGCTGAATAAACAAAATAATGTTACATTCACAGTACTTCACGATGATCTCGAGGTCCGGTCTTTGAAATATGGAACATATTAACGACTAAATTTTCAAACTCTTGATTTCTTCTAATTTACATCAACTCACAGAAGTGAAAATTGACAACATTTAGAATATTGACTTCGTACACATTTCATTAACAGGTAACCCTCTGTAGCCAGTGATTTGGACGAGTCAGAACTACCAATACAGAAAAAATGGGTTAAACAAATGATAACTTAATATTACAAAGGGAATGAAAGTAAGACAATACAGAGATATTAGCTGGTTTAAAATAATCTTTGCTTCATGGTAGCCCCCATCCACAATATTATCTCTTTAGTAAGTTCAGATAAGAATTAATTATCTATTTCATATATACTTATCGCTTGATAATTATCGCACAAACAACGCATTGGATCTAAATTACTAACTACTCTCGTAATGAAGAGTAGCTTTTAACAAATTGACTATGATATGAAGTAATGATATTCTGTTCTATTTTTTTTAATTATATCACTAATGTTGTGATTTATTATGTCTCCGATGAAGCAAGACTGTGTTAAGAACTATTCTATAGTCACTCCAAAAGTTTTTTTTAAAGTCCCCCTTCTAATTGTTGCGCTTTTTTTAATTTTCATGAAATATTTTTCTAGAGCTCATGAATTCCTTGAATGTGATGCACGGTTAATTGCAGAAGAAATAACTCAAATCGAAGAAGAAAAATTTGCTCAAATTGATGTGAGTAGTATCTTTAAGGGATAGAATCTTCATGATGTTTAATGGTATTTTAAAATGATGGGATATTTTAATTAAGCTTAATTTCACACACACACAAAATGATTCATTTATGTCTTTCATAATTATCAAACCAAATTATAAATAATATTCAGTGTAGGGGTTGTGGAGATTAATAATTTTTTGGTTGAGATCATGGACTGATTGATGTTAGACCACCGTTGGAAATCTGGAAGCAATGGACGGCCGTTTCATTCTATTATGGAACTACTCAGCAGTGCGCATTCACGATCCCGTTCGCGGGATTCCAACCGAGGGCCTTCAGTCTCGCGCGCGAACGCTTAACCTACTTGACCACTGAGCCGGCATACAATGATGTTAATGTCCAACATCAACCAATCCACGAAGTTACACAACCATCTTCCATTGTACTGAAGTAGATACCTGTCTCTACCCGACACGGATTAGCTCCCCTGGTCACAGCTTCTCACTAGAACTCCGAGAATTCCCTCACGAAGCTAGTCACTAGTGAGCATATGTTAATTATCAGTATAGGGGTTGTGGAGATTACTAAGTTTTTGATCGAGATCATGAACCGATTGATTTTAGACCACCGTTGAAAACCTGGAATCACTGGACGGCCGTTTCGTCCTATTGTGGGACTCCTCAGCAAGTTGTTAAAACACTTTTCAGAAATTGTACAATTGTATTTTTAAGAATAATCAAGTCAACTAGACGTTATGAAGCGTATTAAAGATAATTAGTTGATATTATTGATTGTATGCGGTACCATTTATATGACTTAACTTAATCTACTGAAAAGTGTACACAATAAATTCATATACATCATTGAAGAATTAATTATACGCAATCAGAAGCTAGATTTGTATAGCCAGGAATGAATTATGAATAGAGAATTAATGAAAAAAGATGTGGTAATACTGTTTTGTAACATGATGCAAACAATCTGTTACTGAGGTGAAATAAATACCTGGTTACTAGACAAGCTTAATATCTCATTCATTAGTAAACCTAATATTGGTCAACACGTTTTATCTTCAAATTACTCAGTATTCATGTACTGTTTCCTATTATTGATTGATATACATGAAGCCATAAATGATTGAGTTATTTCAAAATTTTATTAACTTGTTTAGTTCAATCTTAACATACTTACTAAAAACTGAATTTGTACATTTTTTTACATTTTTTTTAAACATTTCAGTTTCATGAACTACTAGATATTCAATATTTAGAAAAAGGTGAAGCTCAAACTTTAGGTAGATGTGTTGAACATTTTAATCAAATTACACGTTGGGCTAAAGGAATGCTACTTATATTAGCACCGAAAATAGTTGAAAAATATTCTTTAGTAAATTTATCAAATCATCAAATAAAAAGTTCCAGTAGTAGATCATTGTTTAATAATTTACGTAGTCGTCATACATATTCTTCTCTAATTGTTCCAAATAATAAAAATAAAAATAAAGAATATGATTCCCAATCTGATATAGAAATAACAAACAATGTCAATTCTACAAATGAGGATTTTATAAAATCGAATTTATTTAATAAAAATATTAGTTATTTATTAATACACCCTAAAAGTATTTTAACAAAGAAAACTGTTTCAGTCAATATTATGTTACAGAAAATATGCGAAATCTTAAAGGTTAGTTATAGTTTTAACTGTAAACATTTAACAATTACAGCTCAATAGTTTACAATCATTTATTTTTTTTTAGAAAGCATCTGAGATTGTTACCATAATCGTTGGAACTTTACCATTATTGTTCTGAATTTGTATTTCTTTATTTTTTAATTCTGTCATCCACTGTTGGTATATTGGCTATTCTAGTGGATATTTCGATAAAAATTGTAATTGGAAGTTTATAATCTCTTTTGGTAACTGTCAACAGCGATTGTTAACAAGTGGTAGAATGTAAACCTCTAGAAAAGCCAATAACTGTTAAATAATTTGGTAGCTATCCTCACTACTTATCATAGTGGATAACCTAATAGCATTTGAAGAAATAAGTGGTGAATTCAAATACCTGTATGAACAGATACACTATGTTAGAAAATCTTAAATGATATGAAATGTCGTTTCTAGACAGTACGAAAATATGTATCCTATGAATTGTTTAAAGAGGTTTCATTAAAAAGAGTACAAAGCAGTCATTAATTTTTATTGAAAGGGGATAATCTTATGCATCATCCAAAAGTATTTCAAGAGGATGTTCATCTGTATGCATAATTTATTTTTCATCCATCAACACTACCCTTTTTGAAGAATTAATGTGTTTAATGCTAGAAGGAATAATCGGAAAATATTAGACTGAGCAATCACTATCCGAAAAATGCTTCATGATCTGACTGTTCTAACATGACGATAATAAAATCTCAAAAACTACTTAAATAGTAGATCAAAAAAGACTTTCTTTTAACTGAATATTGGAGAATGTCAGTTTATTAAATAGTTTGGTAGAGAAAACCTATGGTTTTAATAAACTAATAGAGCTACTGATCAGGAATACTAGTTGAAGGGTTTTCCAATTAACAAATTATCAATTCGATATTTGAATATACAATTGGTATATCTTCGTCACGGATTTTAACCAAATGTGACAGCCTAACTGTATAAAGTATTTGCAAAACAAAGTTCAAGCTGAACTGTAAGTATACAAAGAAGCAATACCAGTTAACCAGTTTGTGTTGGATACTTGTATACAAAAAATAGCATTCTCAGTCGATAGTGTATACATCATTGTCCATGCTATATCGTGGACTCCAGTCAATCATCATCGGATGAGACATTCGTCAAGATATTTATTGATATTAATTTTCGAATTCAGACTAGGTGATTTTCTTTTAGTAAATTATACTACTTAAATCCAATTTTTCTAATATTTATTTAAACTTTCCAGCATCTAAAACAATTACACAATTTTAGTTCATTCCTTGCATTATTGTTGGCTATCCAAGAATTACCTGAATGTCTGCTTTCTAAGAAATCAAAACAAGTGAGTTTAAATTCCTAATGGATCTTTAGGCGAGACAGTAATTTATGGACGAACCTTACAAATTTAAGATAACAGGTCTTAGATTTTAGTGCAAAATTCATTCATCCATTTGGCTAAATAGCATTTTAGCATTATGGCTGATGTTAATTTGTGAAGAAAAGATTAAATTGAATTTCTAAGCCTGATGTCTAAGTTTAATCTTTTATAACTCTCATTTAACAATAGTAAGTAGGTGAGCATTCTCAAGGTCACTTTAGCATCGCTAAACGTTCGTCCATAAATTATGGTCTCACCTATTTTTAAGATGTAAACGTTGTTAAACACGTAGGCAGAAACAGTTTTTGACATAAATTTATCTTTTATACATAACTAGGTAACAAATAGTAATTAAGCAAATCGATTGACGACAATCAGCATTTAGCATTTAACGACAATACAGTCAAATTCAAATCTTGCAGAATATGAAGTACAGTAAACCATCAAAACCAATGATTTCATGAACCAATTCTGCAAATACTACAGCTGTTTTTCAAATGTACTTGGATAGTTTATGTGATTTCATTTAAACCCTGAACCGGATATAACGTATAAAAAATTAGCATTAATGATATGTTAAATTTAATTGGGAACTCGGTAAAATGACTATTGGTTTCACCATTATTCACCCTTCAAATAAAAGAGGATATCATATGAAGTGCATGTTCCTATTTGAATCTGAATGAGGGATAACAGTTGACTCATAAATATGTATGGCAATAACGAACAATGAAGTACAGTAACTTGTTGGGTACTGTTGAAACGTTGGTAGACAAATTTAATTAGTAGAATTTATCCAACCACTGTGCCTCAACTATCTGGTAAATTGAATTACTTTACAGTGGCATAAGAAAGACATTTATGAATTATATTTATATGCTACTTGATAGGTTAGAGTAGTACTTTTGATATCACTTTAGAATACTCCATATTGCTTCAATTTTAAAATTTTCAGTTGGTTGCTGGTTTTTCATCTTATATGAAACCTCCGAATTTCGGTGAATATCGACGAGACTTGGAAACATCCGCATTACCGTGTTTGCCCTATTTGGGTTTAATATTCCAACAACTAATTCATCTACATATTGGCAATCCAATTCACCTGTCAACTTCACCAACAACAACATTGTCTAAAAATGATAAAATAGAACATGATATTGAATCTATCAGAGAACATGATGATTCTTCCCAGTTAGTGTTTAAACCACTGAAAATGATAACTACATCACTGAATACAAATTCAACTGATATGATCAACGTTTGGAGATGTTGGAAACATTATATGGTACTTGGTTATTTTATAAAACGAAAAGAAGGATCTGTTGAAAAGTAAGCGAATTCTTAAGAAAAATAAATTAATTTACTCTCTCGTAACTGATAGTGCAGATTTTTGTTCGCTGAAATTCGTGTCCTTAACAGAATATATTTGAATGTAACAGTAGAGTAGTATTTGGAGTACTTGATGATTCAAAACACTAAACATACATTTCGCTGTTTGCAACCGGATGATTGCACCACCTAATAAAAGAATGTATTACAAGAATAACATTCTCTTGAAGAACAAAGTATGTCCAACTGAGATATTTAACAATGCAAAGACTCTCATATTTTTATGTACTTAATTACTTACGCCTGTACTACCAATAGAGCATAGGCAGCCGACAAGCATTCTATAACCCAATCTGTCCTGGGCCTTCCTTTCTACATCTATCCAATTGTTGTTCATTCTTCTCATGTCTGTCTCCACTTCTCGACGTAATGTCTTCTTTGGTCTTCCATTTCTCCTTTGGTCTTGAGGATTCCACATGAGGGCCTGTCATGTGACACAGTTCGATGATTTCTCTAATGTGTGTCCTATCCACTTCCACCGCTTATCCCTCATTTCTTCCTCTGCTGGGATTTGGTTTGTTCGTTTACACTGTTGGTTGTTGCTGAGTGTTTGATCAATGGATCCGAAGTATTTTGCGTAGACAACTGTCAATAAACAATTGTATGTTCTGGATGATGGCTTTCGAAGTTGTCCAAGTTTCCGCCCAATACAGTAGAACTGTTTTGATATTTGTATTGAAAATTCTGATTTTGGTGTTGGCAGTTGACAATTGTTTTGAGTTCCAGATGTTGTTCAGTTGTAAATATGCTGAACTCACTTTGCCAACCAACGCCTTCACATCTGCATCAGGTTCATCATATTCATCAATAATGCTGTCCAGATATGTAAGGATATTTACATCTTCCAAAGCTACTCCATGTAATGTGATTCGATTAGTGCATGCTGTGTTGTATTGAAGAATCTTACCTTTCCATTTGTGTATGTTGAAACCTACTACTGCCGAGGTTGCTGATACACTGATCGTCTCCTCCTGCACTTTTGTTGCATGTGCGATAGAAGAGCCAGATCATCTGAGAAGTCTAGATCGTCTAGATGCATCTTATCTGTTCACTGTATCCCATGTTTCCCCCCAAATGTTGACGTCTTCATGGTCCAGTCGATCACCAGGAGAGGGAGAATGGTTGAGAATAAGCAACCTTGCCTGACACCGGTTTTTACTTAGAACGAGTCTGTCAGCTTTTCTCCATGCACGTTTTTCCAGTTTAATCCATCATAGGAATTCCGTATGTTATTGACTATCTTCTCATGCATGCTGTAGTGTCGATGTAGCCTACATAGTGTTGTCCTGTCCACGCTATCAATTGCTTTCTCGTAGTCAATGAAGTTAATGTAGAGTGATGAATTACATACAATTGATTAATCCACAATGATCTCAAAGACTCTCATATGATGGAATTCAACCGTATTTTCCTGAATGTAAAATATACATTACAGTTATCATTCAAAGTGATTGTTATACGTATGACGGAATAGTTTTTTCCTATAAAAATTTCTCAAAGAAATTTCACTCTTATATTTCTCAATCAAGTGTCTGACTTTCAAATTAGACGTGAAAGTAAATCATTCAATATAAAAATTTGTACTCGTATTTAGTTGTTTAATAGAAAAAAATAATAATTTGTTAATCAGATGACGATTAAACGGTGAGTTAATATTCACAGCACAAATAATTTTAACAGATCTGTAAAAACTAAAACTTATCACAGTGAATCTAATGATCGCTGTCAGAAACAATTACAAATCCCGAATTAGTATTGGATATTAGGATTAAAATCTCTTTAAATATTAAAAAAAAACAAGGATAGCAGCTGTTGATGAAAATTATATACCTACAAGATTACACGAACTAATATTGTTCATTGATTGTATCGAAGGATTATATTGTGAATTAAAACATTATAATATATATTGTTACAATTATCAGAATCGAATTCAGACATTTGATTAGTTCGATGAAATTTGTAAGTAGCTGATGAAAATGTACGAAATAAAACAGAATTTATGCCACGTTATTTAAATGACCTATTCATTTTGACTGGAGTTGCATGACAAAAACGGAGGGAGACGTGATATAGCAGGTCAGTAACATGAAGATACGTTTCAGGTGGTTGAAAAAAAACTTGCGTTTAAAAGGATTCGTTTATTTCAACTACTTGAATGGCTCTCTCGGTGTTCCACAATGTGCGAACACTCCATTTAATTATGTTAATTATTTCTCTTGTTATCAGGAGGGCTATCAGCCTTGTAGTTTCTGAAAATTTTAACTTACATCATTCCTCTTCTCGTCAGCGTTTTTTTAACGAGTTAGTTTTCTATGGGATGGGGTCACTAATCCTATGCCCAACCCTCCTCCTTTATCCGGGCTTGGGGCCGGCAGTTGCCCCAGAGGGGATCCAGGCGGAGTTAAATTGCGTCAATAGATAGCATAACAATTTCATATGAAGATCTTCCAAATCCCTGAACAGAGTTTAAATACTATTGATGATTTTTTCCGGTTGGCATTTTTTAGTATGATTTTCTTCTACGGGACAAAGTTGCTAACTCCATTCCCAACCCTGGCTTCGTACCGGTAGCTACCCTAAAAAAGACCCCAGGTAAATTTAAGTCAACGTAACTCGTTTTAATAAATTCGGTAATAGTTTCACCGACTAAACAAAGGGTAGTCTACAATTGGTAAACATGTGATTTGGTCATTTAAACTCAGTTCTTTCTAAGTTATGCTTCAAATTTAGCAGTTGATATTCTATAAATTTTACAGAGTACCATTGTAATAATAAAATTAGATCTACCTAAATTTGAGTCTAAAATATGCTTCTACTTCTAATTAATTTGAGTCGATTCAATATAATAATAGTACACAATATATAATATAATATATAGTAATACAATATATAATAGTAATATATAATAATATATAATACTTAGATAAAATATCAACTTCACTTGAAAAAATATATTTGCCCCATAAAATTCTTTTTTGTTTGTATATTTTCTCTGTTTTCCTATTATAAGCCTTCACCACTTTCCCCATAATCCTCAAATTAATCGTATAATTAATGGATTTGAAGATCGATTCAATGACACAGCATTAGATAAAGCTAAAGAACAGTTAATTATTCTCCAACGTTCAAAACGAAATATTTTATCAAAATGAATCTCACAAAAATCAAAAAGAAAAAAAACAAAGAACTAAAAAAAAGAAAAATCAAACTCAGATAATTATCTGTTCAATATTCTGTATTTATAAAATGTTTTTATTTTTCATTCCGAATCGTCAATCATTTTGTATGTATATTTTTTCTTTCTACTAATATAAATATTGTTGCAAATAATTGATTAAAACCAATATTCTTTTCATTCAATATGGTCTTTGTACATAATTATTATATTTTAATTGACAGTTGTCTTAATTACTGAACGACTGTTTTCGTTCATCCTCATCCTCCTCCTCCTCCTCCTCCTCCTCATCATCATCATCATCATCATCATCATCATCATCATCATCATCATCTCCATCATCATCTTGCGGTTAAATTTTGTTTATTTTTTTCTTCGATCTCATTTGTATTTATTGTGATAACTAGTTTTGTTTATTTCTCTTGTCCCATTTTCTCTTTTTTTTCTGTTTAACAAGAATTTGTAAACACAGTTGTTGTTTTCTTAAAATTTAAAATGTTTACATGTTTTTTTTCAATATTACCAATGTAACGCAATGAATATATTTCGTCTGTTCGTTCTATAGTATTATCAATCACTGTTCTACAATGTTTATAGTATTCTATCATTTATAACAAAATTATAAATATATATTGTGGTATATTTAAAAATTATGAGGAAGATATTTCTTCATATATGGGTACATCTAATTTACACTTTACATTATATTGGTTTTGTTGAGGTTTTTGAAATAATGTTTAATTACAAAATGAAATTAATCCTGTCCATATTGATAATGAAATCATGACAAATAGATCGTTTTGCTTTAAGAATTCGGAAACATCAAAGAAATCCATCTGAGTTGTAAATTTTTCCCATCATTTTAAAGATGGTATTAACATGATTTATAAAAAGATTTTGACGTTATCATGAAACAAGAATCATTATGACAAGTAGAATTATTTCGGGTTTTCTAAGATCACTTTCTCTGTTTCCGACCATAGATTTGTAAATCAAGCATAATCGCACGTTTTAACCATCTAGTGTCAAAAGCATCATTATTAAGATGAGACTTGATAATTTCAAAAAATTTTTGATATATTTGTGATATTTAAATTACTTACTTACTTATGCCTGTTACTTCTCGTTGAGGAGCACAGGCCGCTCACCAGCACTCTCCATCCAACCCTGTCCTGAGCAGTCCTTTCCAGTTTTTTCCAGTTGTTATTCATCCTTTTCATATCTGATTCTATTTCCCGACGTAATGTGTTCTTTGGCCTTCTTTTTTTCCACTTTATTTCAGGATTTCAAGTTAAGGCATGCCTTGTAATGAAGTTTGATCATCTGCTTAATGTATGTCCTATCTATTTCCATAGTCTTTTCCTAAGTTTCTCTTACGCTGGAAGCTGGTTTGTTCTCTCCCACAACGTGGTGTTGCTGATGGTATCCGGCCAATGAATGTTGAGTATCTTGGGTAGATATTTAAATTAGCAGAAATTAAAATTTCCGGCTTTTTGTGACTTGACTTAATTTTTTCAGAGTAAATAATTAACCGAATTACATTAACACAAATTTAAATCGTATGGAGCCAAAGGCGGAATATTTGTTCAATCGTAATCAAAATACGTTTGTTTTTTATCATCACAGGATTTTGAAGATCGAACTTTATTGAAATAACGAATGGATATAAAGGAAACAACTTTCAAAAATCTGAAAGCACCGAACAGGTGTTTTATTATGGTGTAGGACTCTTCAGCAGTGCATATCAGTGACCCTAAAATCTGGAAAAAGAAACCCAGAGATTACAGTCACGCTTGTTAACAATTAACTTCCAGACTGCTGAGCTAGAACTTGCTGGCATACTAATTGAACTAAACCTTTAAACACGATTCTGTAAAGATATGAAACGGATTCTTTTTACTTTATTCGAATTAAGTTGTTTTGATGTATTCGTTATTCTGTAGAAGTTTTAACTTTGTAAACCTTCGTGATTCGTTACACTTTTCCAGATGTACGATGGCGGTAACGTAAAACCACAGCATCAATCCATGTTATTTCATTTGAAATATTATTCAAAAGCTTTCATGGTATTTTGGGGACAATTGTTAAATTTTATGATGTTTTCTGTAGTTACTCGTTATAAATATGATTGTATTTTTCTACGTCATCAGAGGTTACATAATAATTCATGCTCGTTTAAAACACACACTTGTAAAAAGTTTAATTTGTTCCATCTTTATGTTATTAAATAAATTAACTATTCAACGAAATGAAACCTTTCATACGTATTTTCTTATCATAATATGCATATATTAAATAATATAGTTGAATAATTAGCAATTTGTTTAATTTGCATATGCATGAATACTGAAAGTAATTAATGCCACTATCGATTTCATTTCTTCTTTTAAAGGTGTACACATTGTCTAATATGCTTACACATATGTTTTATAATATGTGATAAAATCAGTCAATATTTATCACTACAATAACTAGTCTTTACATTTGTACACGTACAATATAATCCATCTTGGGTTAACATGCTTATACTTCAGTACATATATATTACGTAACTGTTTATTTGATTAGTCAATATATTCATCTAAATGTAAGTGAATTTGAATGACAAGTAAGCATAATAAAACCAGGATAGTCTATTAATCTATAGACATTTTAAATATGACATGAGTTGTTTTCTGATTGATTGTTCTGTCTATATCACTGACTATAAAATGAAAACATATACTGATTGACCACTGAGCAGTAATCAATTTTATAATTGCCTAGTCGCGAATTTCGGTTGAATTCTATCGACCAAGTCGCAATTTGTCCACTGGTCTAATTCACTAGATATCATATCTGTTATGGCAGTCAACAGAAAGCTCTTAGCCTTGGTATCAATCAGAAAGACATACTTGCTATTTTAAGGGGATTAGTGCTTATAGTGTGATTTGAACTTGTATCTATCAACTTAACAATTTGAACCGTTATTAGTAAGGTATTTGGACCACAACTAATTGTGTGTATGTCTGAGATATTCCTATTGATTGATTACTTAATAACTAGCAATGTCATGAATTGGTAAACGGTTAGTCACAAATCCTATAATCCACTTCAAAAGAGTATTGGTTACTCTAACACAAATGATTCCTACATTGGTAAATGTGAGAATGACCTATTCAAAACATTATAACATTAGTTTAAGTGTACTACATGTTACATTTTCAATGCTGTAATACTTGATTCAGTCGTTATTAACATAAAATAAAAAAACAGTATCTTAGTTAAGAGATTTCTATTTACTTCAATATTTTCATATTTCTAATTCATAAAATTAACTTATTTAAATTAACAGGAATAGGTTATTGAATCTTTGTCAAACAGCTTACTTTATAAATTACTGTTTTCATATTATGCTACAATCACAATTATAGAAGAATTATCAACTCGGTAAGATTCTTTTGTTATTTACTCATATTGATCTTTTCTTTTTTTAATTATAATATTATACGTTCCTGTGGCGAAAATTGATTGTTACCATATAATTGCCTAGAATATTATTTTTTCATTAAAAGTTATTTGTTTTACAGATAATAACCAGTTTCAAACATAAGTTTAGTGAGGAAATTTTGTTTAACTTTTTCTCCCCAATGGAGGAAATGATTTTTTTAAGAGATTTTCTCTCAAGTGACACACCCAAGATAGATAAGAAAGTGTTTAGCAAACTAGCTAAAATGAACAATTCAGTATACAAAGAAAATTTTTGTGAGTAGTATTTTAAATTTTTATGTATTATAGGAACATTTATTTAACATTATTTAACTATTTCAAAATGTGATTATTTTGTGAAACACAGAAAGGTTGGGCTTGAAGTTTGATTAAACAAAAGTAGTTAACTTGTCAACGAAGTTATTCCACTTATAACACTGAATACTAAACAAAACACATTTTAAACGATAATAGACAGTTTAGTGGAAAAAAATGAACTAAGATTCAGTGTCCACTGGTGCCTATAGTTATTATTAGCTTCTATACTATGGTTTTGATATATATAGTTATCAAAGGACCACTCAAATTCACATCTACGTAACTCACCCTGAATATTTAGGTTCATCTAGTGATGTGTTTGATCAAATATCAACCCTACAATCACTAACTGACTTCAAAGCCATATGAAAGACCACTGTAAACTTGGATGTCACATTGTTTGTAAATCTGTTCATACTAACAGTCTATGATAAAATTAACTTTGTTATATTTTTTCTTTCTTTATTTATCAATGTGACATTTTTCACGTTCACCGAAATTTGTTTCACAAATAACAGATAATTTTTTTCTCAAATATTGGTAACCATTTCAATACATACAAATCATGAGTCAATCAAAGCTAGACCACCATGGGAAACCTAGAAGCACTGGACGGCTATTTCGTCCTGTCGTGGGACTCCTCAAAAAAGTGCATCCACGATCTCGCCTTGCGAGATTCGAACCCAGGAACTATCGGTCTTGCGCGTGAACGCTTAAACTTTAAGCCTCTTAGCCGGCATCCAATTATTTGGTCAATTCCCTTATATATTTGTATTCATGTACCATATTGAAAAAAAACATTTGATTAACTTCTTAACTTTGTTTGAATATAATCCATTTCATTCATGTAGAATTTTATAATTTAATTTATACATGTACAATGAAATAAAACTATTTATCGATCTAAGTACCAATCAAATCCTTCATATTTTACATACTATTCAGTTGCCATGAGGCATTACAGTACAGTTTGCATTTTTATTCCATGGCTTATGTAAACCATTTAGGGAATAATATCAAGATTCGTATCGATCGCAGAAGCTTCTTCTAAATGAAATCAGAAAGATTAGAATGATGACTTTATTATATACAATTGATTGATGATTGGGTGGTGATCAATGTCATGTGTGTCAGGTCCTTCTTAGCGCAAATCAAGTCCTATCGACCAAGTTTCAATATGTTCACTAGTCT